CCGATGTTGGCACAACAGTCTGTCGCGAACAACCACGGTTGGGAAGGCAACTTGCAGCTGCTGGGCCCAGCTCGCCTCCAGAACAATCTACTGAAAGCCTCTGCTAGTCCATCATCGAGCCGCTCTGCACCCGCTGGCAGTTCTTACTCAAGGACAAACGGTGTGGCCAAGCCTCTGCCTACCCCTGTGCAGACCCCCGTGCAGTCCTTCCAAGATGGTAGCCAGACCGACGCCGATCTTGCTATGAGACGGGCGATTCTGGAGCAGCAGCAGCAACAGCAACAGCAGAAGCAATCTCGTCACCAGCATCAGTCTAGCGACTACTCGCTAGCGCCTTCTGTATCGAGCGTGAGTCACAACTCGCCAGTGACTCCTCATACGGGCTTCGAAGACCTCGATGACGCATCGAAGGCGATTGTAAATGGTGAGAACCGGTTTCCCGACGTAGACAAGTGGATGGATGATTACTTACGCCTCGATGCGCTTTCAGACTACAACAACCACAACGCGAACAACAACATGACCATTGGCATTCCCAAGCTCAATCGCACGATTTCCGACATTTACCAGGACGAGCTTTACAACCCCGCCATGATGTCTACTCCGCAGATGGCCAAGCCCGCGACAAACCAGCAAAATCTCCTGGCACCATCGTTCCGGAATGTGATCGCCGATCGCCTTCAGGCTGCCAACCAGGGCCACTTGACCGCACGGTCCCAGTCTCCCATGGTGAATATGCCGCGCGATCGCTCTCCCTTCCGCCAGAACTCTCCTTTGGCCGCTGAGTACAATCATGCGGCTTTGCAACAACCTCAGATGGCCACCAGCGCCCCTACATCCCAAAATGGGGTGAACATGGGTCAGGCGGCCCAGGGAGAGCCTAAGACGATGTCCCCAAAAGATGCCCTGCTGGACTTCAATGAGGGCGACGATACCGGCTTGCCTCTCTTCCCCCCTTCGTCCCAGCCCGACTTCAATCTGGGCGATGCACTGGGTCTACGCCGGGAGAGTTCCGGCTCCTTCCAGCCGACTCAGAACTTTACGTCGATGGAGTCGTTCCCCAGTCAATACGCTACGCAGGGTGCCACTCAGCAGTTCGCCTTTGGCCAACAGCAGAACCACCGCCAGCCACAGCAACAGAACAACAATCTGCTGCATCAGACTCCCGAATTCCCCGCGTCTCTCCCTCGGTTTGACTCTACGGGTAGTGATGTGCTGCCTTCGACTGAGATGACCTCCCCACAGGCATCGCAGAAGATGCCAATGCAGGCACCACCGGTCAAGGAAGAGATCAGTCGACCGGAGAATACCTCGGCCGACGGAGGCACCTACACCTGCACATACCACGGCTGCACACTACGCTTTGAGACCCCGGCCAAGCTGCAGAAGCACAAGCGCGAGGCGCACCGTCAGACCACCCCTGGCGGTCACCTGGTTACTCGCGATACATCGGCCCGCAATTCGCAGGCTGGACCCCACAAGTGTGAGCGCATCAATCCGTCTACGGGCAAGCCGTGCAACTCTGTCTTCTCCCGGCCTTACGATCTTACACGGCACGAGGACACCATCCACAATGCTCGCAAGCAAAAGGTGCGGTGTCATCTGTGCACGGAGGAGAAGACTTTCTCGCGCAATGATGCGCTCACCCGGCACATGCGCGTGGTGCATCCGGAGGTTGACTGGCCCGGAAAGCAACGGCGCAGAGGGCGGGAGTGAAGCTTGGGTGGATCAGCCCCAGTTCCCAGCCCCCCCTTCTTTCCTTCTCCTTCCCCCCCTCCTCTCCTCTCCCAATTCCAATTGAGTGGACCGACAAGGGGGTATGTGGAGGATGGGGATGGTGAGTGCCATTCAGCAGCCCCGGCGGTGACAGCATGAGATCCACCTGGTTTCCCTCACCATGACGGATCCAAGAAGCCTCCGACGTCATGGGCTAGTCCCCTTCAGGCAAGGACTCGCTAACGGGCCCGGATCGACGGTCACACCTGCTTCATCGGGCAAGTGTGGAGCCTGAGGACGTGCACCCAATGCAGCAGCCATGACGTCACGGCTGCACCCTTTGGGACGGGCGGCCCGCCGGTGGACCAATCAGCGGGCCGATGACGTATCGATTTCTTTTTCAGCGAACGAGCAGGCCTTTTTTTGCTTCTTTTGGCTTCCTTCTTTTGCGATGCTTTTCTTTGTTTTGCATTACATGCCATGGGTCTTAGATTTCTTTTGTCATTTATTCATCATCTGTGATGTGAACGGTGTTGCTGCGAAATCCTTTCTCATTGGGTCACGGTGGTTTTCGGAAATGGGGTTTGCATCAAAAAAAGAATTTCTTTTTTGCGCGTGTGTATATGCAAAGGTCCCGCGTGTCTGCTTTCTTTCCAGCCAGCTTGTTACGAATTCCTGGGGTTTTACGCTTTGTACTATATTGTCCCCTGTATGATTGTTACGTGATGAGATATTTATTGCTGCAGCTATTTTTCGTTTGCATTGGGTCGGCATGGTGGTGGGTTTGGCGCGCAGATTGTGATGAAAAAAACATGTACAGTATGATATGTATACATATATCGTGAAAGACATATATACCACCTTTATTATGCTTACTTTTCTTTTCTTTTCTACTAGTAGTCAAGAATATTGTTTCAGAAAAAAGGGGCTAACGGGGCCTGTCAGCCTGAAAGCTCTCAATAGTTAAATTGGGAGCTTTAGCGAAAGAAGCTATGAACATCTGCTGCACACTGCACGGTGTCATCGGCAGGTACCCAACTACTTTCCTAAATAGTACCAGAAGGAAGATGTTATGGAAGCCCAAACATACAATAGTCCAATCTAATAATAATACCAATACCAATACCAATGATGATAATAGTAATATTAATGATCATGCATGCATACCTACCTCTCCATGCACATTGTAAGGGTACTTTTATCAAAGACATGGTGGTGCTTGCTGGCTGGCTGGTGGTTTCGGAAAGAATGAATGAATGAATGAATGGGAAATGAAATGAAAAGGGCCATAGGGTATGACATCATCCATATGCACCCCTGTTCCGGTAGAACTACGGGAAGCTATGCATGGCATCACCATACATACATACATCATTTTTCATAACGTACGTACAACGTACAAAAAACCATGCATGCGTGCATGTTTCTGATTTCTTTCCAATTCTTTTCTTTCCTTGCTTTATGAATGATAATTCTCCGGAAAAAAAATGTGGTTTTGTGGCGGTGCAAGGTATGTTATGTATGTACTTTTTGAGTCATAGTAGAATTGGTAAATTGTTAATCAGTTATTGATAATGGGTTAGTCAGTCAGTGAGATGGGGATTAGTAATTCGTTTGTCAATAACTAACATGAATTATTTAATTTGCTATCGTACTTTTGATTTATTATTTCAATAGCAACTAATCAAATGATAAAGTCATGCTTATGTATATCTGACTGAGCTAGTTACCCTATGCAGTAAACCCACTGACTCACTCAAACCTCATAGTAACCTATTTCCGAAGGAGTGAGTAAATCATTCCCCACATAATTAGTTAACCCCTCTTTTTTTCATGAGGTGGGTTTGGGGGTATCCACAGTAGTAGTAAATCATTAAATCCACTTTTCAGTCCACTTTTGAAGGAAAGTCCCTTGGGTACGCAATTTGGTCTGTTTTATCGGTCGGCTATCCACTCCAATTAAAGAAAAAGGTTTTGTATCAGGTTGGTGGAGAAAATTGTGTGGGTTAGGGATCGATCTACATAACATCGTACACTTGTATCTAATTTACATTTCTTAGATTTGTTTTTGTTATACCACGATTTGGATGTGTGTGGGCTTCTGAAGATGTTCTTGTAGATATTGTAGTGGTAACGATAAAATTTTGTCTAATCATTGAACTTTACCTGTTTAGCTTCCAACTACCATATGTCGATTAGCACAACTAGTTATCACCTCCTCAGCCACAACCTCGGGCTGCCGCTGCCATCAGAACTACTATAGATTCATTCCGTATCTTGCCTCTTCGGTAACATCTTAGAGGAAAAAATCTAATGCGATCATGTCTGTCTAGTTATGTTGTCCTTTTTTCAACTCTGCTTACTTTGTTGCATTCTTGATTGTGCCGGCGAAAAGGGCTCTATCGCGACTTATAGTTGCCTGAACATCGTGATTACTATTATCCTTGATGGCTTGGCTACTGCTCCTGCCTGTGCTCTTTGGAAAGACTCATTATGGCATCTTGCAAGAATCGATACCCCGGGGCAACCTGTTCTTCCCCACTCTCGCGTCCCCAGCTGCGTATACAAATCATGCAAATGAGGCACCGACTTCAGTCCAAGCAGGCCACCTACTACTCCCTGCGTCTTCAATTCAGTGATGAATCTCTCCGCTGATTCAATCGAAACGACCTGGACCTGTCGGCTGTGGATGACGAACGTCGGTGTCCGGTAGTTGCCCTCCCGGACTTGTGCCAGTGGGCTGATCGCTGCAAGGCGAGAAGCGGACGGCATCGCGAGGTCATCGGCGCTGCCAGTCTGAGCGTTGAGTAACAATGGGAGGGCAGTGCCATTCTTCGATACTGAGAGCACGAGATCAAGGCGATAGGAACTGCTGTCCGATGAAGCATAGCGCTCTGGAAAGTGGACCCAGACTCAACTATCCTATCCTCGCACTTTTGCTTCCAACAAGTAATTGCTGCAGAGATGCCTCGCTCCCCACTCCTCGGGTGAAGCTCGTGCGAGAAAACCCAGCTTCTTGAAGCACCTCCATCCACTTGGACGCTGGCTGAAGAGGATACTCGGTCCCGTTTTCGGCCACCCACCATTCATCAAACAAGCCAAAAGTCATGTCAAGCCAGGCCAGCGGTTGAGTTCTTTCTGATAAAACGACAATCCCGTCATCAGTCAGGCTGTCCCTTATCCTGCGGCAAGTTCCAACCCTGCTGGAGGTTGCGTGCACACAGTTCGTTCCGATGACTATGTCGTAGCGATTGCGGTGCTCCCTTCTCATTTCCTCTTCCAGATCAATTGTGTCGTAGTCGATCCAGGAGATTAACGAATTTGTCCTTCGCTTTGGAGACAATCGGTGCAGATACATCGCTAAAAGTGTGTTGGCACGGGATTCTCGCCGCCTCGATAGCCTGCGCCAGTCGCAGAGTTGTGCCCCCGGTGCCTGCACCAACTTCCAGAATGCGAGGGACCCGCTTATTGCTCTTATGATGTATCTCGTGTCCGCGAAGCAGAATCATGACTAGAGTCACGAGCTGATCCGTGTATGTGGATACTATTGGTGACTTGGCATAATAGTCTTCCACGATCTTGGATGAGGCTGGACTTCCAGACATCAGTAAATGAGGATTTTGTTCGCCCTCTAATACGGGTGCCAGGCTTTCTCCGGTCAGTTTCATCAACTTTGCTTCCGGCAAATAGGCTGGAAAGCTCGAATCTAAGTTCTCATACACCTCTGCAGCAGAACCAAATTTTGGGGTTTCACGACCTCGAACGATTATGCTCGCCTGTATGAAAACGACCCCATGGGTCTGAAGAATCTCCCATAGTCGAGCAACGAGTTTGCTGTGCCTGGCTATATGCTTAATTGGGGCAATAACCGTTCCTGAGGGCAAAGGCAGGATAGGAACCCCCAAAGCCTCGAAGGCTTCCAGGATATAGGCCTGCACCAGAAGATCTTGCAAAGGTAAGACATTAGATTCGTAGGCGATATACCCATTCCTATTTTCCGCATCTCGAAATTGGCTGTCGACTTCAAGCAGTGCCTGTACTGGGTCCGGTGTGGCCGCGGTCCTGTCATCTTCATGTCCAACCACCCCGTTGAGCTTGGTCTGTAAAAGAGCTGGTGGAATACCAGAATCATTAGGCGATACCGGCTCATTGTGATGTATAATTTCATCACTACCATTTGTGAGTTGAGAGTCCCCAGGCGACTTTTGCCTCACCATTTCAGTGAGGTTCCCCACAGACGTTTGTCCCAAGCCTACGGTACTGATGCTCGAGTTAAATGCTGCGTTGAGCTCATCCGAAAACTCCATCAATGATAGAGAATCGATACCAAGGTCTATGAGGACAGAATCCGCAGGAATTTCATCCGGGTCCAAACCAGTATAATTCGAGATGAGCTCCTTAATCACAATTTCGGGGTTCCTGTACTTTTCTCCTGATGGGGTTGTCACGGCTGTTGTAGCTGTCATAGGACTCGATTCCGTGTCACTGATTGGCAATTCACCTGTAGACATAGCAGCAGCATCAGGGACTTTCTGAGCCGGCATGCGATCAGGGCGAGATACTGGCTGCTGTGGCCGAGAAACGCTGGCGTTGTTAGCTGCTCCAAGGAATTTGCCCAACTTCACCTTGTCCATCTGATTGAATCGAACTCCTGACATCATCGCTACCACCTGTCTTTCCGGGGAGCGTACGAAGACATCCCCAATGAACTAATTGTTACCAGCCGACATGATTTTTGTGTAGACGAACCACTCCCCCTCGAAATCTGCTAGACAGGCAGTTGTCAGAATCACACGTTCAATACCCACCGCAATCAGGACTTGGTCATTAGCAGCGGTTTCGCTGCTATTGAGCAGCAGCCCTGTCACCGAAATGAGGGAATCCAGGAGCACCGCATCACATCGCGTCCAAGTAGGGCTCTCCATCCGACCGGGCTGGCCGTTGGGGAGTTTGACGGTGGCCACCGCTCCATCCACTACCACAGACTGGATACCTTGGAGGAAGGGAGCGTAGTGCATTACTTTTGAAAATTAGCCATACGCTCTCTTTGCCATAAATCGCTCAGCTGTCTTGCAGTCATGGAGTTGAGTGAAAGCGCCATCCACGAGTCGCCCGTATGTAGTCAGGTTGGCCTGTGACGATACGGCAGCCACACCCACGCAATGGACCAAAGGTTGTCTGGACGCTGGAGTTGTGGAGCACACAGTGAACTTCCAGGATTGCTTGTGAGCAAGTTCCTGGAGCTGCAGCTCTAATTCCCGCGATTGGTTCTAATTATTCGACGGGACCGTTCTAATATCCACACTATCCAGAAACACTGTACGATGATAAGGGCCCCGAACTGAATCAACCAGAGTTTTGCCAGCCGATTTGCACAGCTTTACAGATTGCCCTCGTCGAACTTCTAGCGGACTGGAACTTCCATCCATTTGCTGCGGTTGGTCATTTGTCCGGAGAGGTTGCCGCTGCATACTGTGCCGGGATTATCACTAAAAGCCGCGCTCTTGAGCTGGCCTTATTCCGAGGCTTAGCTGTCTCGGCAACATCGCGAATAGGTTCTCCAGATGGCGGCATGCTGGCAACACGGCTCTCATCGGATTAATGCTCAGAGCTGCTTGCAGATCTTGCGAATAGTCAGAACCCCGAAACACGCAACATTGGTATCGCGTGCTACATCAGCCCTCAGAACCTGACCTTATCCCGAGCCACGAATCAAATCGAAAGATTGGCACTCGCGTTGGAAACAGAAGAGATCATGAGCAAAAGGTCGAACGTTAGCATCGCGTACCACAATGCAAAGTACATGGAATCTGCAGCAAGCTTATATCAGGCTCTTATCAAGAAATCACACTCGAGCGAACCCGGAGGGAGGGCGAATTCAACACCCAGTTGCTACATGTTTTCCAGTGTTCGCGATATTATCTTTGCGCCAGACTCGGATGCGTCTGAAGTTTCGAAACCAGATTATTGGCTTGACAATCTTGTCTGTCCAGTACGATTTACACAAGCCATGCAGAAGTTAGCATCGCTACTCGAAAATAAGGTTGAAATTGCCAATACCCATTTCATTGAAGTCGGACCACATTCTACACTCAAATCAGCAATCAAGGAGAACTTGGCCATAAAATTCAAGGGCTGGAGCGTGGAAAGGATGTACAGTCATATGTTATCTCGCCAGAAATCAGCAGTATCCACTGCGTTGACGGTCGCAGGAAGACTGTATAGTCTTGGCCTTCCACTCGATTTGATTGCAGCGAATAATCAGCACTCGAATAGCAATCGGGTACTCATCGATCTTCCATCATATCCATTCAATCATTCCAAGCGATACTGGATGGGAAGTCGCATCAGCAAGGACCATCGTAATAGCAATCACCCCCATCATGATTTCCTTGGTAAGTCAGCATCAGATTGGAACCCTCTGGAACCACAATGGAACAACAAAATCATACTCCAAGACCAGCCATGGATCAGAGACTACCAGGTGAGTTGAACTCATGTGAATTCCATTAGGGTTTTCATCCTCCTAACTAATCGGCACAGGTTTCTGGGGCTTGCGTCTACCCTGCAGCTGGAATGCTTGCTATGGCTATCGAAGCTACACGACAGGTTGTATATGTCCCCAATCACCAGCCGATATGCTATCAGTTCAGAGATGTGGTTTTTAGCAGAAGTGTTGTGGTCCCAGACTCAAGGCTGGGAGTTGAGGTCCAGTTCCGTCTGCGAAAGGTTGAGCAGCTGAGCATGGACCTTGCTCCTTGCTATGACTTCCGGCTCTACATGCACGACCACGGGGGATGGGCTCAATGTTGCCGAGGCTATATTGCGATTGAGCACCATACTAGCCTTTGTGACTTCGACCTCGATCGCAGTGCGGCGGACGAACAACTGAAACGACTGAGTGCAAGCCTCTCGCCTGCTCAACACCAGAAATTCTTCGCACGCTTGCGTGACTCGGGGCTTAGCTATGGTCCAATATTTCAAATGGATCGCGAGAACATGCACGGTGTTGAGAATGAAGGTGTCGGAAAGATTGATTTGCAAAGGTGGACCGACCTCATTGAGGAGAACAACCAATCGCCCTGCTTCATCCACCCTGCGGCACTCGATTGTATCATTCAGGTGGCTTTCCTTGGGATCACGCGTGGGGGACAAGTTGAAATCCCGACCATCGTACCGACAGCGGTCAATCATCTGTGGATATCGGCAAATATAACACAGCAAATGGTTGCTGTGTCCGCAAAACCTATTCAGAGCAGTGAGCGGCGCTATGATGTGGGTTACATCTCACTTGGGGCTGAGACGAGAGACCCCTACTCATGGGCGATCTAACACTCACATCCATTGAAAAGACTGCTACCCCGGCTGCAAATGAGACTAAGGAAAGCATAGTCTCCATGTACCGTGTTGAATGGAAGCCCGATGTCAATCTTCTTGGCCCTCAGTCTGGGTTGTTTGCCGCCCAGCCTTTGCAGCTATCCCAAAGTGAATTAGAACGGATCAAGTTCACTGAATATGCCTGCTTCCTTGCGATGTCTGAAGTTTTACACCCAGTCGATGGTGGCGTGTCAGTTCATTACCAGAGCCCTAAACATCTACAGAAGTACCTGGCATGGATGCGACATCAGAGCGGGCTTATAAGCGCGTCCGTTGATTGGAGAGATTGGATCTCTACACAACCAGCAGGTAGTGGGTTCCAGGAGCAGCTGTGGCAGAGAGTATCATCATTCGGACCCGAGGGGAGGCTTATTGTGAGATTATGTCGGCAACTCTTGCCCATCAATCAAGGGGAGGTTGATGTGCTGCAGATTCTCTTTGCCGACGAAACGTTGGCAGACTACTACAGACTCGAGAACCCTCCTCCTGAAGTTGTAAAGGGAGTCCAGCAGTATGTTGACTGCATGGCGCATGCCAATCCTAACATGCGGGTTCTGGAAATCGGGGCAGGTACAGGTGGTATGACACAGTATATCCTGGATGTCATTGGCGGCCATAATGGCAGTGCCGTGGAGCGTTTTGCACAGTATGTGTTCACAGACATCTCTCCCACAATTTTTAAGGACGCCAGAGAAAAATTAGGCAAAGGGGAAAGGATCGTGAGGAAGACCCTGGATATTGAGAAAACACCTGCAGACCAAGGCTTTGAAGTTGAGGCCTTTGATCTCGTCATTGCCAGCAATATAAGTTCGCACTCTGCATACCGGTGGATTCAGAGCTGACCAGCCTAGGTTTTACATGCCACCAAACTTAGCCTTAACTCTGGGGAACACCAGACAGCTTTTGAAGCCCAGAGGGAAACTTATACTCGTTGAGGGTACTAGTCCTAACCTACTACGGACCTCTTTCATCTTCGGCTGCTTGCTGGGGTGGTGGCTATCAACCGAGTCGTATCGCGAGTGGAGACCACTGGTCTCTGTGGACCGGTGGGATAAGCTGCTCCATGATAGCCAATTCACCGGAGCGGATTTCCTTCTAGACGGTCCAGACAAGGCAAATTCATTGAGTAGTGCGGTAATCTCAACTGCGCGCCCTCTCATTCGGTTTAACAGCGACATGCCAACATCGTCAGACATTCTCGTTGTGAGAAAAGAGAGCTCAGATTTGCAGCAGTCCTTAGCTACCGCAATATGCGACTCATTACAAGAGTCGGAACTGTCTGTCAGCATCCATGATGCTTCTGAACTACACGAGGTTCTCAATGGAGCTACCGTGGTCTTGTTGCAGACCATTGACGATTTCGTATTCCAGGAGCTTGACGAGAAAGGGTACCAGAATTTTAAAGACTACTGCGGCAATGGCCAATAAGCTGCTTTGGGTGACACGGAGATACGACAGCCAAAAGCCAGGTTCACTGGAGCAGGATGCTGTGCTTGGCCTTGCACGCTCCCTCATGTCAGAGATCGAGGGCCTCAATATCGTGACCCTAGGATCGGAAGATATCGAAACTACTTCCCGCGCAGCACAGCATATCCGGGCAGTGTTGCAACACTATTTCTGTGCTGACACCTCCTTACTGAGCATAGATGGCGAGGAGATCTTTGAGATCTATGGCCGCCTTTGCTTGAGTCGAGTCTTGCCGGCAGAAAATAGCCAGGGGATTCAATAATCATCCATGACGGGGCTAGTTCACTCAGTCAAGCCGCGATTCAACTCGCTCAATTCCTGGGTGCAGAGGTTTTCGTGACTTTCAATACTAGGGATGAGGAAGCTATAGCGGATATGTACTCCATTCCAGCTTCGCACCGATTTCCACAACAAGGACATATGCTGATGACGGGAAACAAACGCCTAACCCACGATCGAGGCGCGGATGTCATGTTCACGCCATCGATTGCGAGAGAATCAGATCAAGCAGCGTGGAACTGCTTAAAAGAGTATGGCCGAGTTATTGAGGTAGTCGACAAGAATGCACGTTCATCCTTCGGAGCTATGCCTCCCCGGCCTCAACTGTTCAAACAAAGCGTCATGTTCGCCCGGCTGGATATTCCGACGCTTCTTCAGGACACAGAGAAAATTGCAACTATCTTGCCTGAGGTCATGCGTCTGATTGAGCACAAATCAGTGGTTCCTGTACAGCCTCTCAGGGTACTCACCCTCTCTGAGCTTGAGAAATCCGGTGGTGTGAAGGCTGTCGAGCATTCTCGGTCAGCCAAGACATGTATTTCCTTCGACTTGAACAACCTTACCGCATCCAAGCCGCAACTATTTGACTCAACAGCGACATACCTCATTGCCGGGGGCTTGGGTGGTCTCGGGAGAAGCATAGCCAAATGGATGATATCCAATGGGGCCCGATATCTCGTTCTCCTTAGTCGGCAAGGTACAGAAAGTCCTGGAGCAGATACCTTCCTTGACGAATGTGCGACCATGAGCGTGACAACTTTCGCGCCCAAGTGCGATATAAGTGATGAAAGGGCATTCAGTGAAGTTATCCAGGAAGTGCAGCGGCGGATGCCCCCCATCAAAGGATGCATCCAGGCATCTATGGTTCTGAAGGTAATCTACCACATGAAAAGAAATGCCCAGGCAAGAGTCACAATCTAACATGTTGTTATTGCAGTCCGCTATGTTCGCCAAAATGACCCTCGACCAGTGGAACGAAGCCCTACGCTCAAAGGTGCAGGGTTCGTACAATCTCGATCGCCACCTACCAACCCCGCTGGACTTTTTCATCTTCTTATCGTCCGTGTGCGGTATAATTGGCGCCAGCGGTCAATCAAACTACGCCTTTGGGTGCGCCTACCAAGATGCACTGGCCCGGTCTAAAGTCGCGATGAGACAGAAGGCCATTTCCATTGACCTCGGAATTGTCGAAGGGGTTGGATACACGGCCGAGCATCAGGGCGTGGGTTCCTTCATGCGCTCATTGGGTTTACAGCCCATCCCTGAAGAATATCTCCTTTCAATACTAGAATATTACTGCGACTCCAAGCGTGAAATATGCCATCCCAGCGACGCCCAACTAGTCGTTGGCATCATGAACCAAGACGAGATGCAGAGAAGTGGACTTGTGCGCTCGCGATTCTACTCACGGCCTTTGTGGAATCATTTGCAGCGACGCATGAACCCAACGCTTGGCAGGAGCAAGGTTGTTGCTGCTCAACGATCGAATGAGAAGGGCCCCTCATCGCTGAAACTCCCGATAGCTGCGAGCGATGATACACTTTCGTCTACTGTGGCAGATGGCGGTCCAGACGCGGTCAGTCGGGCCATCTGCGAAAGGGTCTCGGATGTGCTTGCTATCAACGCTGATGATATTGATCCGGCGAAGCCGTTGCATATGTATGGGGTGGACTCGTTGGTTGCGATGGAATTGCGGAGTTGGTTTAAGGAAGCACTGCAGAAGGATGTGGCTGTGTTTGATATCTTGAGTAATCGGCCGATAGAAGTGTTGGCTCAGGAGGTCGTGGGGGTGGCTGCGGCTGCATGAGGTGGGTTACAACTATTCTAGGAGTCTGTGACATTTTCTCTCCGGTTGCGGTGCTTCTGCCTCATACATGCACTCCTTTGGCTAAGGTAACCTGAGGTGATGCGCAAGATACCCTGTAGTGATAGTCCGCTTATTGCGTCATGATGAGCGCTGTCTTGCGTACGCCCGTCAAGTGAGCTTCTGAGAAACCTGTCTTCGGCATGTAGGAGTAGTTGATCAGCATTACTCGGTAGCATAGATCTTGAGTTCGGACTTCGAATATCAGTCATGCCATGTATCATAATCATAGAACATACACACGGTCGTGGGTTCATTGGCGGGACCCAAAACCGGCTATCCTCTAGATTGAGGTATGGGCAATACATCAGGGCAGAATACACGTGCCATTGTCGTCAGTATGCTGTTGATACAGGGACGGGCCGGTGACGTAAATTTCGATAATTCCTCTATGTTCCATGCTTTCACGCCGATATCACCGACGGTCAAGCAACCAACCACATGGTCTGATCCGGGCATTGAACTTTTGATCCCAGTTGCTGGGTTTTGTGTGAATATCGGTGAACTAATTGTAGGATCTGGAAGCTCTGAGACAATCATTAGGTGTGGAGCTTCCCTTGCTGGACTTTTCCCGGTGTGTATATCCACACGCGTTACGTTCTTGGGTGATCCCATGCTCTTTCCAAGGCATTGGGGGTGGGCAAGACAATTTGAATGCCCTTCACGACACTGGGTCACCTGCGGACCCTATGCTGCGCTGGATCTCACCGGGGCCTGCGAGTAGTCGTGTGGCCATCCTGCAATATTTCCGTGGGGGTCTTACCCAGTCCACTCGCAGTTCCTTTGACACTTGCCGAGTACAGCCCCCATGGCCCATTTCATGTGGTTCCACCCATTGTGCTCCGGATTCTCGCGGCTATGGTGTCCGTGATGGCGTAGGTAGAGTGGCCTGGGGGTGTCTTCGGAACTGGGTTATGGCGATCAAGGAGGAGTGATAGTATCCATGTATCTTGCTTGTGAGGGATAAAGGAAACATGGGCCTGGAACGCAGTAGCACTGTGTACATTAGCTGTGCCTTATGTCTCTGCTTGGCCTTGGAGGGTATGTGGCCCTGTTGCCAGTCCCTCGACGTGACTGCTGCTCGTAGGGTAGTGGGCCCACTTCCGGTTAGCTATGAGAAGAGTGCAGCCAGCCTATGGCTTGTTCCGAGCCATGACGCCAGGAAGTAGCATCAACATTAAAATTGCGTTAAGTTCGCATGGGCGTTTGTGGGGGGGTTCGTTCTCAGGCGTCATATCTATCCTACCGTTGTCTTGCTATCACGCATGGTGCCGGTTCCTTGGTCAAGGCTTGTAGAGTCATATGTTAGTTGTCTTTGGTTTGAGCACCCTGTATCCAACCATGCCCTCGGAGATGCCAGCGACACAGCGAGGTGCGTAGCAGCGTGTCTGTCTGTGACAGTTATCCCGCAGGTAAGCATTTGCAGCTACTGCATTCCGTTCTCTATAGCATTGGAGCTATGTCCGCTAGAGAATTCGTATTGTTTGGGGAATGTCCACAATCTGCATGGATTTCCTTGCACCGTAGCATATCACACGGCGGCATGTCTATCGCGTAATGATCATAGAATGGAATCCAACGCGAACAAGACGTGTCGTGACGCGCTGCTGTCCCCGTGACCGTGGTTCCTGTTCAGGTAAGCGGGTGTTGTTGGCCTGGGGCAGCAGCTGCATGGATGGTTTGATACCAGGGAAATAGAGGTGGTCGATCACGAGCAACAACGCGCGTTTTGTTTCTGATCTGCTATCTAATCCGGTTAACTATAGGCTTTAGAATAATTCTCTATAATTTTAATGTCAATATAATGCGTTATGGTTGCGACATCAACGATCTCAAATGGCCATCAACCGGAATTCATAGTATGAAGAGCTGCGGGTTTGAGTTGAACCCCCCTGTCGGTCGGGTCGGGGCGGGTTGGTCCCCGGGCTCGGGGTGTTTCGGTGTTTTTCGGGGGTTCAACCCGGAGCTGGGTTCAACTTATGAGGGAGCTCGATATACTGTACGTAGGTACTAGATCAGAGGGTTTGATCAAGGCGCTGGACTTGATGGTGTGATTTTTCTTGATATATACTAGAAGCGCTTTAAATTTACTACTCGAGCATATCTACTGGTGCTGATTTTCCTACGAATCTATCACTAAATGCCGTGGATGGTCTTAATTCGCTGGTATCATGCCGCCAGTGTCGATTATGGTTCATTGATCTTATGTGATGCCAGAGTGATCCTAATAATGATCCGGTGGGCATTAGATGGCTTAGTTAATTGATCCTGAATGGCTCGTCATGTACTTTGTGGTGTTGGTGTGATTATTTTACGTAGTGTTGATAATTCGATACTGGTGATCTATGGTGTTGGTTATATATATTGGCAGGGTAGCTCTATGTATCCGAGATGTGATAACCCTATAGATCACAACCACCGAGCAGCAATACTACGACTACACAATACAAAATAGTCAAAAGACATACACACAGAAAGTACAAGCAGATATAGGATCTAGATACCCTAAGAATCTCATATACTGCCATCAAACCGCTGCTTTCGTGATGACGATGAAGACGATAATGATGATATATGGATGCCTAAGGCACCAAACAGTAGCGGAACTACCGGAGAACGCGTAGCGCGTCGACTACCGATACACAACATGCGACTTCGCACAAGTTAACATGGTATTGATTGAAATGCTGTAGACTATGGTATAACAACTAAGATGCACTATACTACTTGACGCTCCTGTTAAGAAAGTAGTAATTTATGAACAACCCAAACGCTCGACTACGAGAATCACCTGGATACGAACAGCACGCGAGTCGCATCATAATCAAAATGCGTCACCCACATTGCGATAGAAAAGAAAATGCGAAGCTACAAACATACAATGGAAAGATGTGATCATTTTCGACCGTTCGTATTCATATCGGATCGCGTCAAGGTCGCACGATCCTCTTTAGCCTATGGCACCAGCCGAAGCGTAAAAGGCCGCTATGATACAGAAATTCAACCACGACCACCAGCAGACCAGTAGTGGACGCGTGTAATAGTAAATAAAATACGACAAAGCAAACCCAGACCCATGATACTTGTAATAAAAAGATCAAGAACACCCCAACGTCCCAGTCATACCATGAACCAACCCGAAAAAGCAACCCGTCGCGTCACTGCTGCGGAAGGACAACTGACGCGCCGACCGCGCAGGATGGCTAAAAAGAAACAAGCAGGAAAATAGAAAAGGTGTTTAACCACCGAAACCGTAGAGGGTACCTGAAAAGTTGTATGTTAGACGCGTTGGACATAACCAAGCCAGAACAGATAGTACTTACGGCCCTGTCTCTTAAGAGCGTAGACGACGTCGAGGGAGGTGACGGTCTTGCGCTTGGCGTGCTCAGTGTAGGTGACGGCGTCACGGATGACACCCTCAAGGAAGGTCTTGAGGACACCACGGGTCTCCTCGTAGATCATGGCAGAGATACGCTTGACACCACCACGACGAGCGAGACGACGGATAGCGGGCTTGGTGATACCCTGGATGTTGTCACGCAAGATCTTACGGTGACGCTTGGCGCCACCCTTGCCGAGACCCTTTCCACCCTTTCCACCTGTAGAGACGCGTCAAGTCAGTCACTGTTGGTCGCGGAATAGACAAATGGACGATCTGTCGAGATAGATAGATAGACCATGATGAGAAGTGATGAACTTACGGCCAGTCATTGTGAAGGTTGTCTTAAAGTAAACGGAAATAGAGTTGAATTAGAGTTGAGGGTGAAGGTGGTGGAGATAGTTAAGCGTTTTAGAGTGAGATGGATGTAAAGGGAAGAGGGCAGAGAGCATCCATGGGACGGGAGATATTTGTATAGCAGAAGGCGCGCCGCGGGGAGGGCGTTGGAATCACACGCTAGAGAGCGGATCGACCAATCAGAGTTCAGGATCCCGGCCAGCGGACTGATCTGGCGGCAACGTGACCGGGCAGGGATGATTCCGCTGGGATGAGACTGATTCCCACGGGAATGCTCCCAACCACCTAGATCAGCAGTCAGAGAGTGTCAGGGACATTCCTGTCGATGGCCATGAGCCTCTCCAGCAGGTTGATAGGATCACATTCCGGGCCTGAGGTTGGGATCAAGGTGAGGCAGGGGCAGCTTCTAGATCCGTGATCCTGGCTTCCTATTGGCTGGCGGGCACTAGGGCGCTCGCTTAGCGCTCCGAGCAGGCAGAACGGGGACTGACCGCCTTTGGGCACTTTTGATTTTCCCAGCGAAAAGTGAGTCCCGAAATCACGGCTTATGGTGTGCTGCTTTCCGAACACTTTTTCGATCAAAGGAACGGCACGCTAAGGCCCCCTCCCTTTGCTGGCAAACCCAGATCACCACCCACCCTTTCGCTTACTACAAATACCTCTCCCCACCCGCCTCCTCCATCCTTCTTCCATCTCCTCATCCCGTCCACCCTTATCTATCAACCTCCATCAATCTTTCATCCTCAACGTCATCTTTCCATCTCTAAAACAACTAAATCCATCAAACTTAATCCACTAAGATGGCCCGCACTAAGCAGACTGCCCGTAAGTGCAACCTCACTGTCCTTTCTCTTCGTGTCGCTTGACCGCGTCATGGTCGCGACACCCGTGTCTCACTTGAGGAACATCACCACTAACTATCATCTCAATATAGGTAAGTCCACTGGTGGCAAGGCTCCCCGTAAGCAGCTCGCCTCCAAGGCTGCCCGTAAGGCCGCTCCCTCCACCGGAGGTGTCAAGAAGCCTCACCGCTACAAGCCCGGTATGTATACACTCATCATCCCAAAGTGGCAAAGTGTCTAGTCGAACAGTCAACTAACAGTCTACCAAAGGTACCGTCGCTCTGCGTGAAATCCGTCGTTACCAGAAGAGCACTGAGCTCCTGATCCGCAAGCTGCCCTTCCAGCGTCTTGTTCGTGAAATTGCTCAGGACTTCAAGTCGGACCTCCGCTTCCAGTCTTCCGCCATCGGTGCTCTTCAGGAGTCCGTCGAGGCCTACCTCGTCTCCCTCTTCGAGGACACCAACCTGTGCGCCATCCACGCCAAGCGTGTCACCATCCAGTCCAAGGACATCCAGCTTGCCCGCCGTCTCCGTGGTGAGCGCTCTTAGATTTACTTCTAATGAGTCGGTTC